GCACATTTCTCCCGTCCATTTCCCACACCATAGTCTTTTGTTTTGGTCTGTTATGATCTAGAATTGTCACTGTGTTCTTGTTTCCAACCAGGTCTTGTCCAAATTGTGACTAAATATGTTTTGTTTCCCCTTTAGTTAACTTTTCATGCTAATTGATAGTTTTGTATGTTACAACATCTGTGTGTTCTGTGAGATTTGGTCAGATATTAAGAAGCAAGTCTTCTTTGGTCCTTGCCTGCTGTTCCACCAATCTCTGTAAAGCAGACTTTATTAAGGGTCAGTCAATCAATCTTTGAACAGTACTTTGAGGAGAACAGAGAAGATTAAACACTTTCTGCTGAAAAACTGTGTGAGACGATTTACACTCACATTGAGCACTTAATGATACACAACAGTGATTTTATTATTTTTGGCTTCTTAAAGTTTCTAACAACTGAGTGCTGGAGAGTAAACATCTCTCTTATTACATTGCTTTGTTTTCTGCTTTGTGTTCAAAACATCAATTTCTAAGGAAAAATACAGACAAGTCACAGTTCGAAAACTGTTGTTGTACAAGTTCTCTTCATTGCATATATTGCTTAAATAGCTCCATTATTTTAACTTGTTGAATCGGTTGGTTTGTTTTTTATTCTCTTACAGGAAACTCAAAAAAACACATAACTGCTCTGAAGAAAGCAGTGGATATGAACTGCAGTGGAGAGCCTTCTCTATACAATTCTCTAAATTTGGCCATGCAGACTTTAAAGTTAGTATATACACGGAGTTTTTTTGGTTTTGTGATGGTGAGTGTTTGTGTAAGGCAGGGACAGATTTTTTTCTAAATAGCATCTTGCATCAATCTTGCTGACTTTAAAAGGCAACATTGTCCTGTTACAGTACAGATTAAGTATGCTAGTAGTACAGAAGTTAATTTTCTAACACAAGATGCTTGTTTTTAGAGGTGTGCTGCTTACAACATGCAGTGCTTTAAAACTGGGTAGATGATTGTGTGTAGATACTGTGATGAAAGACACTTTTATTAGAGGGCTAAGGTATGAGAAAGGGCAGAGTTAGGGGTTATTAGTGCTGGGACAACAGGAAAAGAAACAGCACCAAATGAGTAATCTTGTGGGAGTTTCAGCATACTTTAGAAAGATTAATTTTCTGCTAGGGTAGATTGAAAACAATGCTTTTTGTATGTGAGATGTTGAGATGTGCCCCAGTTTGTGGAAGACTGAACAAATAATTACAGATGGAAACACTGAACAAAGCTGGTAGTCAAAAACTATTTGAATGATCAGCTTCAACTAAGAATTAAAAGTAGTTAAAAATAATGTATTTACACATATAAACTGATTAGAGAGTTTTATTTTAAGAAGTTGGGAAGACTTACTGCAGTGTTACTAGTTTGAAGGTAAGTTTTCCCTGTGAGAGTATGGATAAAGTACAAGGGATTCATTAGAGCAAACAATCAGATAACAGCTACACTACCAAATGCTCAGGAAGGATTTTACCATAATTTTCTGACTTCATGGCATTGAACTTCTTGAGAACAAGTTATCTTAGCATATGAGTAGCTTAGTGAGCAGCAGTAAATTGACTGTGTACTCTCCTTAGGCACATGCCAGGACATACAAGCAGAGAGGTTTTGGTAGTATTCAGCAGTCTGACGACTTGTGATCCAGCCAACATCTATGATCTCATTAAGGTACAGAATCGAAGTTTGACTACTACATTGAATTCCAAGCTTTTTGAATAAAATCAGACAGTTTCAGTGTTATCACCAATTAGTTTTCATGTAAGACTTCAACACCTTTTTCCTATTTTTTGTTCTGCACATGAATTTGAGTATGCTTTCTTTTTCTGTTTGAAGTGTTTAAAAGCAGTTAAGATCAGAGTTTCTGTCATCGGCCTGAGTGCTGAAGTTCGAGTTTGTACAGTACTTGCCCAAGAAACTGGTGGTATGTATCTGACATTTAGTAGTTGCACTACTGACACAAGTTTAAAATCAAAATTAACTTACTAATTTGTTACATATTCATTAATGCACTTTTATGTTTAAAGATGAGTATTTTCCTGTTGTGCTGGCAGAAAATTCAAGGGTTTCCCAAGTCTGCAAAATACACAGTGATTTTTTTATCAGCTGGTAGCTGCAGCTTTAGAGAGAATAGATATGTTTTCAAACCTAGTGTTCTACGTATAAAGCTGTGATGTGGAACTTAATTAATGTAACATGTTAATATCGATTACTGCAGTGGTTAGACTTACAATGTCATTATTACAGTGTAGTGTTGGAGAAGCTATGGGCCTTCATATCTAATTTAACATTCTGGTGTTACTAATTTTAAAACTTGTCATTTTCAGTAGCAGTAACAGGGCTGTTTTTTAGGCATGGGTTTGGCTAAATTATTTTTTCTGCTTTCATTTGGAGGATGTGTTTGTGTTGTTGCCTGCTCCTCACCTGAGAGTAAGGCCTTTCTTTCTTTGTGACAGGAACATACCATGTTATTTTAGATGAAAGCCATTATAAAGAACTGCTGATGTTTTCAGTTTACCCCCCCCCCTGCCGGTTCAAGTTCTGAGTGCTCCCTCATTCGAATGGGTAGGATATGGTTTTCTTAAATTCCTAGCACAAGTTTTGCTTTGTCTTTTCCTTTCTTTGTATCTTCTGTGTTAAGGCAACACAAATAGTAAGAAGCATAACAAAGACATTGCATAATTGGTTTTTTTATTTTAACTTTTGTTGAATAAGTGTTAGCTTTCTTGATGGTGTTCCTGGAAAACAGTCAGCTTTTAAATAAAGTTACGAATTAAATTAGACAAATTACTCAACAGAAGTTGGAAGCAATAGAGTGGAATGATATTGCTTGTACAGTAATTATTATCAATGTAATGCTTAGAAATGATGGATGAAAACCGGGTTTTTTGTGGCATACCAAGGCACAGACTCAGATCATGGTAGATGGGGAGACAATTTATTGCTAAACGGTTACATATTTGTATCTTTCACTACTTCGTTCATCCCTCCACCCACCAGTCTACTATAGCCTCTTAAGGGCCTGTAACACACTTATCAGCATTGCTCAGCTTCAATGCAGCCTTTCCGTGCATCATTGTTCTGGTTCCTTTCACGTTTACATTCTGTATTTGTTTGTGAGAAGCACTGTTGTGGTGTTCTGTCAGCAAATAGGCTGGGTTCCTTTTCTCCTCCTGATGTGTTTCTCAATAGATTTAAGCTTGGACTTAACCAAAATAGAAACTCTAATGCCACAAAGTAGTGCATTGAGTTTTCACTTTCATCCACCCTGTTTCACAGGTAAGAATGTACATATTTCTATGTATAGATAAAAATACTGAAGAGATTTACTTGTTATAGGTAAAACCTGAGCAGCAGTTGAAAAAACCAACTACCTACTAGACATGAGCTGTAAAAATAAGTGGTAGAAGAAAAGGTATCTGTTCCAGTCTCCATGAAGTGCTGTACTCTCGTCAGTCATATACTGCACTCAGAAGGTGAATGTAGGCTTGGTGTCTGCATAGAAAAATATTTTCCTCTTTGAAACCATTGTTAAGTGAACAGTTGTGTGATGCTCATTCTGCTTTCCTACCATAGGACATAATTTTTGTTTTTAAATATTCCTCAAAATGGAGTTCCTGTGAGCTTCAATTAATACCAAGTCTATGAAAAGATTTCATTGAGTTGGGGGAAGTACAATCAGGAATATGTGGATGTAGGTAGAGACCTTTAGGAAGAATTTGATACCTGGTCAATTCTCCTATAATAACAAACAAACAAGAAAGAGATATGCCTTAATGTTTAGAATAGTCTTTGAACTTCTCCACTGAAGTAAGAAACCAAAACATTGCTTGCATGTTTAAAATTGTTGATAAAGGGATGTTTTTCTCTTCAGGTTTTCCTCAGCATACAATTGCCTATCTATCTGACCAAGATGCAAAGCCTTCCTTTAGCATGGTGTAAGTAGAGTTGATTCGGTCTCTTTTCTCAGGCAACTAGCAGTAGGACAAGAGGGCACAGACTCAAGCTCTGCCAGGGGAGGTTTAGGTTGGATATTAGGAAGAGATTTTTTACAGAGAGAGTGATCAGGCATTGGAATGGGCTGCCTGGGGAGGTGGTGGATTCACCATCCCTGGAGATTTACAAGATGACACTGGATGTGGCACTTAGTGCCGTGGTCTAGAAACCATGGTAAGGTTGGACTTGATGATCCTTTAGGTCTCTTCCAACCTGGTTGATTCTATGATTGATTAGAATTCAGTGAGCTGGTAAGAATTCCATATTAATTAGTCATGTGGAAAATCTGCTTGATGGTGAAAATATTGCAAAATAACATGAATACAATAGTAAACAATGTCTTGTAACTTCTCAGTAGGGATTTTATTTCCATTTGCACAGCCGGTATGTGGCCATAGTTACCTCTGTTAAATAGGCTCCTTAAAATTTGCATTTAAATTTTTTTGAAAGTAGTAAATGGTGCTTAGTTGTGGTGTACAATGATTAGAACATGAGGGTGCTACAAGTTGTTAGAGTAATTACTGTCAATATTACTTTCAGTTCTTGATTTAAGTATTATTATAATTATAAAAGATATTAGGATGAAGGGTATTATCTGAATAAAGCACTGTTTATCTATTTCCTAATGAGACTTTAAAGGGAAGTTTAAAATAGAGGCCTCATTTGATAACTATACCAGTGCTCTTCTCAGTGAAAAGGATCATAGGTTTCTGGGATGATAGGGAAGTCTAAATTTTCAGAAGGAAACAGTGGCTGCTGTTCGAAAGAATAAGTACTAACACCCATTTTAGAGTCAATACAGAATGTGTGTGTGGAAGTAGAAAGAGTTATCATTCATAACTTTATTTTTCAAAGATATATTGGCTCCTTTATGTGGGAATATTTGGTCTTTGTTCTGTTCCTGTGGGAAAATGTGGTTACTTATATCTCACTGTATCAATTGCTTTGTGACACTTGCATGTGGAACTGTTGCATAGAAGCTACTGAAACTTCCTAAATTGTGTTGTGAAAACAATCTAATGTTTGTAGTTATGTAGTAGTGTGTTATTATCTCTTAGGTACTAAACTGTCACTTTCTACCATAGGCAATTGGAAAACAACAGTGAGCCTGGTCTCACACTGGGTGGATATTTTTGTCCCCAGTGCAGAGCCAAATACTGTGAGCTTCCTGTGGAATGCAAAATCTGTGGTAAGTGGCAAGAAAAAGTGAGTGGGTGAGTTAGAAGTTAGAGAGTTAAGAGTTAGAAAAATTCAGCTATACTTAGGACACTCAGTCCGGCATGGACAGATTGAGTGCACCCTCAGCAAGTTCA